GATGATAAGAAAGTATACAAATGGTCATCAAATGATTAAGAGTTTAATTAATAATTATAAAGTTATTAAGATGAAGAAGGATTTGTATATGAAAAAGAATTTGATTCTGATTATTATAATTTAATAGTATGTGGATCAGGTAAATTTTATTTATTATTTAAACTTTAATCAGTAGATATATATGATTTTAACAATACAAAAATATCATCAATATAATTTAGATCAATATATTAAATAGATTAAATATATATATTTAGTGATTAATATGATAGTTTTGTATTTTTGGCTAAAAATTAAGATGAATAAGAATTATATTAATTAGAAAACTTTAATAAAAAGAGTAGATTAACAGGTAATTAAAATTATCAAATATAATCATCAAATTATATTTTGGATTTGATAAAATCATCATTTGTAGTATATGGCAAAAATTCAAGTATATTAGATGTTGTATAAAATCAAAGTAACTTTTATTGTTCATAAAAATGTGGAGATATAATTCAAGATTGTTTTTATAAAATTTAATTATAGAAATATTCAACATTATATATATAAGAAGTGTTTGAAATACAAAGTGTGAATTCAAGAGCATTATTTAATGTATTATCATCTAGAGTTCCAATATAATTATGTACATTTGAGTGTAAGAGATTAATTGTATTAAGTGATGGATTGAATAAATTAAATTAAAGTTTTGATTGTATTTAAATAGATAGATAATTGAAATAGATATCTTTTGGAATGATAGAAGAATTGTTAATTGATTATAAGAAACCAATATATGTAGTGAGTATATTAGGTAAATAATCAGGTGGTAAGAGTTATTTACTTAATTAAATATTTGGTATTAGATTTGGAGTATCATCAGCAAGATGTACAGATGGAATTTGGTGTAGTTAAATATAATTATAAGGACATTAATTTATAATTTTAGATTGTGAAGGATTATTTGGATAAAGGAGAAATAATATAGAAGAAATTACTTTATTATCATTTTTAACAGCAATTAGTGATTTGACAATATTTAATTAATGTTCTTCTTATGATAGACATTTGAATGAATTATTTGATAATTTAATTGAAGCTAATACTAGATTGAAAGGTAATTAATTATTCAAAAGTAAACTAATGATATTAGTAAGAGACATTTATCAAGCTGGTTCATAAAATGCTTAATTAGAATTAGATGGACAAATGGATTCAATAATAAATTCATCTAATAATGAATTACTTAAATAATTATTGAAGAATGGTGTAAGTGCTTAATTAATGAGTTATTTTGAATTAGAATAATTTGATAGAGATGTAAATTAGATAAGAGAATAAATTTTAGAGAATGCAAAAAATAATATGAGATGGTAAGATGCTTAGTCATTATTTACATCAATGAAGATTACATTATTATAATTATCAGTAAAAGATACAAGAAATGTTTAAGATTATGAATTAAATTATTAAATACATAAATTGAAAGAATAATCAAATATTTATTGGTTAGAATTACCTTAATGGATAATAAAGAAAGAAGATCCTAATAATATATCATAATAGATAATATTAACATAAATAATTGAAGATAATTTTAGTTTATTATTATAATAAGCATTAAATATATTAAGAGTTAATTTTGAATAGGAATCTTGTTTTATGTAAAAGTTTACAAAAGTAGATAAATTGATTTAATAATTTACAAATAAAAGAATTAATTATATAATAAATATTATATAAAAGGAAATAGAATAAAAATTAGTATAAATTTATGATTTAGATAGAGATATGAAATAGAATATATTATTAGATTGTGAAAATGAATTAAAATAACATTTACATAATTATAAATTATGTGGTTAAACTTGTAGTAAATGTTATGCATTATGTACATAATATAATGGACATTTAAGTAAGAATGGAACTAAAATTGAAAAAGTAAGAGCAATTATTTAAAAAAAGAAATCTAAAATTTAAATGATTTAAAAATAATTAGATTTAGAAGATGGAGCAGATTTAGATTAATTTTAAATATAAGAAAAATTAAATTTATAAGAATTATAAGTAAATCTATCAAAAATAAAAGGAGATCGTACTATGGTATAAAGAGTAACAGCTTTAAAGGATATATAATAAAAGATATATGTTGTAGAAGGAAGAATAAAGAAATTAAATAATATGATAGAATTATAAGAAAGTTTGAATAAAGAATAAGAATAAATATAATAATTTAATAAATAACATATTTGTTGGAGTGATACTCATTTATGTGAATAAGAAAATTGTGAATTATTATAATCACATTTTGGTGATCATTTTACTAAAAGTTTAAATTATGATTAATGTGATAAAGAATGTTTATTATGTTAAAATTAATGTATATTAAAGAATGGTCATTAAAATAATTCATTACATTATTGTTAAAGTAAACATGTATGTTAAGAAACATGTTAATATTGTGCTGAATAATGTACATAAGATCCATTTATTGAACATAAACATATATGTAATTTAAGATATTGTAATAAATCATGTTCTTTGGGTTGTTAAAGATAATGTTCAGAATAACATTCTCATGAATTAGAAAATGAACATTTTTGTAATTGTCATCATTAATGTGATAAATTATGTAATTTACCAGGAATATGTACAGTAGATGGATATGTTAAGAGAATAAAGATGTGGAAATCAAATGCAGGTTCATTATATGGATAAACTACATATGAATAAGTAAGAAGAAAAGAAAAATGTTTTAAATTAATTCCAATTGGAGAAAATAGTCATGATTTAGGACATGCTTGTTCAAATAGAAAACATTTATGTGATTAATAATGTCCTGGATGTAAAGCTTATTGTTATTTAGAATCTGGTCATACAAATCTTCATCATACTATATATCATAATGTTATTGAACTTTAATAATCATGTTTTAAATTAGATGATAAAGATAATGATATCTAATATTGTAGACCTGAAACATGTGATGAATATTGTATTAGATTAGGTAGAGGACATAGTCATGTAATAGAATGTGTTGATGAATTTCTTTGTTATCAATAACAACTTAATAAGAGTTCTAAATATTATAAAGCAGTCCATATTTCAAATAATCTAGATCAAGTACTCTGTAAATAATTTTGGGAAGTTCTTGGTTGGGAATAACCAGTTAGAGGTAATAAAAGAGTAGAAATTTCAAAATGTAATGCAAAATGTTAAACATGTAATAAATTTTGTAATTATATGGCATGGCATGATAAAGGTATTAATTCTATGAATCATAAGTTTGAATGCTATAATTCTCATTAAATTAAATCAATCAATATTGCTTTCATAATTGATTAGACAGATGAATAAAATATCTAAATTGCACTCAAATTATTATCAATCTGTAATAATATCAAAGGACAATTTAATTCAGCTAAAATTAAATTTGCAATCATATTATATCATGATCATCATCCTCATAAAGAAATCTCTTCTCCAACATTCATTCTAAGTGATTTTACAGATTCTGATACACTACTATCAAAACTTAAAGATGTCAAACCAAAAAAAATAACAGCCATATCAGATTATCCTAATGCTGTTTTAGATGGATTACATGAATAATAATAATTGTCTTGGTCAACTAAAAATTCATAAAAAATTGTTATTCTATTAACATAAGCTCCTCCTCATGGACATTCAAAATATCATAGTTTTGATGATAATTATCCCAAAGGTTGTCCTTGTAAATTAAAAGAGATGGAAATACTTAAAAATTATAGAATGAAATAAATTCATTTAATTATTCCTGAACTTAGTAGCCATCTAAATTTAATGATTAAAATATTTTAGAACTATTTACCTAACTTACATTCCATTAATCCAAATAAAAATATGGCAGAAACTATTATCAAATATTTATTCAAATATCTTCAAATACCTTATTCAAACAAAGTCTGATTAGATGCCATCATCATAATATTATATTTTATTTTATATGTTCTGCTTATAAGCAATTTATTTAATATAACATTAATAATAATAATATTATTTCATAAATATTTCTTATCATCAACCTCTAAACCTTTCTCATTTTATAATCTAAATACTTCCTTAACACTAGCTATATTATCTAAACCAATTAAATTTTATCTTTCAAATATTTATTTGCTAGTATCTTACATAGCTTTAATACTTGCTCTTAAATTATGATTAGCCCAAATTGCTAAACTTACATCTATAAATTTATATCATATATCTATACTATTTTTTCTAAATTCTTCTGTTGGAGTCTTGTAATAATTTGTAGGAACTAATACTACTGGTAATCTATTATTCCAAGCTTTTAAAAATTATTCAATTTCTGTAAAATCACTTTTCTTACTATGAATTAAAACAGCATCTACTCCAGCTTTTCTATATGCTTCACATCTCTCTAATGCATTCTCTAAACCCCATCCAGCTATAAATGATTCACATCTAGCTACTATTTAAAAGTCTTTATCTCTTTAATAATCTTTACATGCCTATAATTAATAGTATTTATAACCTTGATCTTATTTGAAAATTCTTAAATATTTGCTAATTCTTAAGCCCCATCACCTAAAGAATTTCTTTTAGGGAAGATCTTATCTTCAAAACAAACTCCAGCAATCCCTCTCTCTTCTAATTTCCTAACTAATCTTCTTGCATTATTGTAATTTCCAAATCCTGTATCACCATCCATTAATATTGGTATAGTAGTTCTTTCTGCCATAAATTCTAAGACTTCCAACAATTAAGTCCATGATGCTTCATTACAATCTCTAACTCCCAATTAAGCAGACATTGATAATCCCGAAGCCCAAATCCCTTTGAAACCTGCTTCTTAAACAATAAGAGCTGAAAGTCCATTATGAGCTTCCATAATAAACTCTAATTCTTTTGATTATATCAAATTCTTTAATTTGGTTGTTCTTTTGGAAAACAATAATGAGGGCCTTAGAAGAAATTTGAACATAGAATTAAAATTAAATTTGATATAAATTTCATTTTATTTTCTTCTATTTAATTAATTTCTTAGATTAGATCTTGATTTAATTAACCACACAATCATAATTATTCTATGGCTTGAATTGCTAATATATTCCTATCTAATCAATATCAAAATTATCTTTCACATCATATCTAAATAATACATTATCAAGATCACTATAATGTTGATTCTACCTAGAAGACAAAGCTGAATATGATCTTGAATTAGATCCAGAAATAGATTTTTTCTTCTGAATATCTGGACTTACTGTACTTGTAATAGTATTAGTCTATTTCTAAGTCATCCTTCTAGGACCAGTATAAGTATTATTTTATCCATCTCTTCTTTATATGTCATCTATACTTGAAATACCAACTGAACTTATTGATATAGCTGATGCATAAGGTACATTCATTTATGGAATATTTAATTATGAATCTCTTTCTTCTGAAACAACAGGTAATTAAGTAGGTCCACTAGGAATATAATTAGTAGATGATCTAAATTATGGTCTTATCATAGCTTAATATTCTGGTTAAGGTTGAGGTAGAGTTTATTTATTATTTTATTCATGATAGAAAGGATCATAAGAGAATGTTAATTTTGGTTAAGCATTTCTATTATTTGCTATTAAAAATTGATTTGTTCCTAAAGGACTTTATACATATGTTTTTGATTAATATGGTACTTGTTATTAAGCTTATTGTTATTATTATTAATTTTATTATTGTTATTTAACTTACTGACTCTTTTAACTTTAATATGTTTATCCACTTGAAGATTTGAAAGTATTACTATTCTAAGTAAATTATTTATGTTATAATGGAATATTTATTGCATCTCCAAAATATAAGTCTTCATTTTGAAATCCTGCTGTTTATAAAGTTTATTTAATTGCTTAATGTCTATTTATTTCTTATTACTATTAATAATATTATAACTATTCTTCATTATCTATATGATCATGATAAATGATATCTCTCAAAGTTTGACCTGACACAACTTCAACACTCTTCTTAAATTAGATCATATTATTACTCTTGATGGATTTGTCAGGTCTTTATAAGAAAGATGTCCTTAATAAACTTCTTCATCGTCTTCTTCTTCATATTCTTGTTCTCCTCTTTCATAAGCCTCTGGATCTACAAAATTAATCCCATAATTTCTTTTTAATCTTCTTCCACAACTTCTAACCAATTTAAAATTATATAATGAATTAACTCTTTGATCCCATTTTCTATCATACTTTTATCTCTTCTATGGTTTTGTATATAAATGTCTACTAATAACTAGATTTCTATTAAGATTTATATGAACTCTATTGCATAATGAACTTAAATGTTAATATGATCCACAGACATAACATTATTGTAATAGTAATTCAATTCTATTCATATATAATACTTCATTTTTTATTGAATGAAAAATCTCTAAATCATTATTGATTTTTTTAATAGTTTATAAAAATTTAGAGTGATTAATTTATATTAAAATTGAATTTCCTTTACTTCTCATTGTTAGATTATGTCCTTAATTCATTATTAGATTTTCAATTCCAAAAGCTTAATTTTTTGGAAGACTTTAAAGATAAATATTATTATCATATATTCCTATTTCACCTTATAAGACAACATAAATATATTCATCATGTTATCCTTTTTCTACAATAATTTCATTAGGTTTGCAAAATTTTAATACAGATTCAAATGTTATTTCATCAATTGATTATTTTGAGAAATATTGTGTAAAGAATTCAATTTCTTAAAGTTTCTTATTTTTAATTAAAAAGAATAATGGCTTTTATATATTGATAGGTAATTATTACATTAAATTGTTAACCTATTTTATTTGATTAATATATATATATTACTGTTTATAATTCATCAGAATGAACATTGGAATTCAATATATGTTGAGCTTCATCAATAAGATTTTAATCAACTTTGTTTACTTTTAAGAAATCAATAAATAATTCTTATCTAATTTAATATAAATATAAAGATATATACTGATTTGTTGAAAATGAAAATTTCACCAAAATTGATATAAATAATATCTAAAAATAGAATGATAATATTTAAAAAGCTACACTTATAATCTTATTTCTATAACTTATTATTTGGGTATCAACTTCATTAAATGGTAACTTTCTATTTATAGTGAATATTATACACAATTATTTATTGTCCAAATAATAGAATCTAAATATGTTAATTCATTATCATTTATTAATAACCAAAAATTAGCGAAATAATTAATATATATTAACAATATAATTGCAATAGTACTATTACTCCATTAAAATTAATATTTTACTCCAGTTAAAGATAATATCATTAAAACTATTTTACCATCTTAATTAAGATCAAAATTTAATAAAAGTGTACTTGCAATGTAAATGAAATTACAAACAACATTTAATTTAACCAATTTTATTTTTAGTAACTAATCAATAAATTCAATCACCAAAAATAAAATTATTAAACCTTATATCCATTAATCAATAAATAGACTTCCAGCTTAAATTGGTACAGTTAAAAGTGATAATAATCTAACATAATGAAATGATTATCTCATATATGATATATACTATGATTATAATCTAACTTCATCTTAAAGATAGGATTCTTTAAGGTAACAATACTTATTGTTAATTTAATCCCAAATATTAGCATTTCTTTTTAATTTAGTAAGAAATGTTCTAAGTATTTATTGTAAATCAGTTTATTTAGGTAATCCACTTAATTCTTTCCACTTCAGTTGATAATATTATTTTGTAGTAGCAGTGTATTGATGAACACTAATATTATGATCACTCTAATCTCTTTATCTATGATTAATATTAGAAAACTAAGAAAGCCTTGATTTTTTGCTATAAATAGTTGGGTCTTTCATTTCTCCACTATCACTTAGTCTTTTTCTTGATAAATCTGAAAATTCAATTCTGAAATTTCTTAATCCATCATCATTCATAACTGGTGATGTATGACTATGACTCTAGCTTTGACTCTAGTCACCTAAATTAGTTCGAGATTTTCTTAATAATCTCTAAGACATTTATATTATATATAAAATATAAGATTATTTTAACTGCTTTTGACATATAATACTTTAAAAATAAATAAAATTTTTCAAGTTTTGCTTATATAATGGTTTCTTTATTCTTCTAAATCTGCTATGTCATTTATTTATTATAATATAAAACTGCTGTCAACTCTAGGATGTCTTATTTACATATAATTTAATAATTTATCTGTTTTCTATTTAATTATAATAAAAACAATACATTAAATTTAATTTATGATCGTAAAAACATATATTCAGTCTCTCCAATTTATTGATCACAAACTTATTTTTTATTTTCCAAAAGATTTTAGAATACAGGATCTAATTGTTTTTAATAAGGAATGGAAAATTTAGGTAATTCAATATTAGGATTTAATTATATTTTCTTATGAAAACTAATAGGTTTAACAACACCTTAAATATATCTATTTGTATATGTTTTTGATAACAATTATTATTGTAAATATAAATCTTCCTTTCTTTTAATTTCAGTTTTTATTTTATCTGATTCTAGAATCCTATCAGTTGATGATTTCTTTATACTTTAATTTTATTAGAAAATTTCAGGTAATTTAGTATTTTTGAAATTCTTCTTAATTACTACATCTTTTTGAATCTAAATTGGAGAATGCAAATCAAATTCATTAAATGAATATTAAATTGGATTTGAAATTGCAGTTTCTGAACTATTAATCCAATGCATAAGATGTCTTCTTTAATCTAATGAAAATTCATAATATGGTCTTGCTAAAGCATCTCTTACTTCTTTCATTCTTAATATTTATAAAATATTTGGTCTTTAATTTTCTCTTATTGTCAAACAAACATTTATAAGTTTTATTAATCCTTAAGAATAAACATCAGGTATATTTATTTATATTCTACCTCTTCTTAATTGTTCTTTAACTTAATTTTCTAGAGTAGTTGATGGGAATAATAAATTTTATGATACCATAAAATAAAGAATATGACCAATTTACCATATATGTGACTTTTGAGTATAATGTCCTTCAAAAAAGTATTCATATGGTAAATAAATAGCTGCACAAGGTAATTAACAAAGAGTTTATCTTGAAGATTTATGGAAATCTGTAATTCTAATTTAATAACCTTCTGTTCTGACTAATAATAGAATATTCTCAGGAATTAATACTCTGTGTTGTATACCAAGTTCATTTAATTACAAGAGAGCATATGCCATTTATAAAAATAGAGACCAAATTATGCTTTCTTGCATTTTGTAACCGATATGTTATAATGTAAATGTTTTAAGATCCCCTTAATCACAATATTCTTATATAATAACTAATTATTGTTCTTCATTTTCAAGATATTCAATTACTTATAATACAAATTAATTTTTAATTTCAGCTAACATTTTAATTGCATTCAATCCTCACAATCATTATAAACTATACCTTCATTTTTATTTTATAAATAAGTTTTTTATATATATGTCTGGTTATCTTGCAATGATCTTACTTTCTAAATTCTCACTCTTTGACTTGAATATATTTCTTATAGTATTTCATATTTTAGTTGCATAATTATAATATATATATTTATATCAATAATTTTTATATATTCTAATTTCAAAGAGTATAATAATAGTAAACTATAAACTTATATTATATGAAATAAAATTATAGTAATATTCAATCTAATTGAATTTCCAAACAAATTAAAAATATTAAATATATATATTTATTAAAAGATAATATAATACAATATAAAATACTCAATTAAATAGAGGCTATAGTTTTATTAATGATCTTTTTTAATATTTTGATATTTCTTGAAATGTTTATATCTTTTGATTAACAATATCTATATAAAATTAAAAGGATTGCAGTGAAAAATGATTACTCATAAATAAGTAGATTAAATTTATAGGGCTTTTTTAAATATATATAAGAAATTATTAGTAAATCTTACAATATTATTCATATTATTAATATATAAATATATTAATAATATGAATATAACAAATTTATATTTAATAATATGCAAAATATTAAAAAGGTAATTAGCTTAGCTAATCTTAGAGTAAATATAGATTGAAAGATGTGATTGAAGGTAAGACAAGTAATGATGAAAAATCTGCTTAAAAATTTGTTTAATTTTCCCATATTAAAAAAAATGTTTCAGAATTTAACGAATTGAAATCAACTCTTCAAGATCGTAAAGTCACCTTTGCTAAATTTGCATTTCGATAATAAGAATTAATTGATGATAAGAAACTTGGTCCTGTATTAAAAGGAATATGTACAAGAACAAGAATAGGATCTATGTAAATTACAGAATTAATACCAAAATTTGATCTTTATAAATATCTCAAATAAGCCCAGTAATAATATTAACTTAAAAAAGTTTAGAACCTTCCAAAAGAGTTCTAAGAAGATATGCTCATTGGGAATGGGATTAAGAACAAGAAGAAAAGAAAGAAGTACCTCCTTCATATAAATTTACTTCAAAAACTGAGTTTGAGTATAAAAAGAAATTAGAAATGAAGGATGCTGAAAAAAGATTAAGAAAAGATATTATTAAGAAATGGGCTTCAAGTCTACCAGATGTTGCTGGATTGACAGCATTTGGTAAATAATTTACTATGTAATCATCTCCATTAAGGAGTACAAAGAGTACATTATCTAAAACTCATAATCATTTCAGTCCAAATCCAAGGAGTGAATCACTTTTATTTGTTTCAAGTCTAATTCATGAATTAGATGAAATTAAATAAGATAACTTAAATATAAGAAAGTATATTTTAAATTTAATTATAGAAAATTAAGAGGAACACAATAAAACTTATAAAAAATTATTGAAAAATAATAATAATAAAAAGTAGCTAATATGGAAATTAATGGAGAATGATTGTTTATATATATATATATGATTATATATTAATCAACATATTGTTTTAATAATTATTTTTAGATCTATATTAATAATAATTCTTTATTATTAAAACAAAAAATATACTAAAATATTTATTTTATTAAATAATGTTTGTGGATAAGAATTTAGCTTCTACTAAATCAAAGCAATAGAAAATTGATATTAGTGATTTAGGTAACTTAAAGATATAATTTAAGAATAAGTACAAAAAAAAAAAGTGAAGTAAAATGCAAACATAAACCCATATACAGGAAATTAATATTCAGATGATTATTATAAAATTTTAGAAGTTAGAAAATAATTACCTGCATGGGATGGTAAATTTTAATTTGATTTATAATAGCAAAGGAATAATTGTTTATGTTATTAGAACAATATTAAGTAATTGTTTTGCAAGGAGAAACTGGAAGTGGTAAAACAACATAAATACCACAATTTTTACTTGAAAAATATTGCAAAGGCAGAGGAATTGCATGTACATAACCAAGAAGAGTTGCAGCAATGAGTGTAGCAAAAAGAGTAGCTGAGGAGATGGATGTAGCACTTGGTGAAGAAGTTGGTTATTCAATTAGATTTGAAGAGAAAACTTCAAATAAAACCATTTTAAAATATATGACAGATGGTATGCTTCTAAGAGAGTAAAATTAAATCATTTATTTATTAATTAGAGCTATGCATGATCCAAAATTAGAAAGATATTCAGTTGTTATTTTAGATGAAGCACATGAAAGAACTCTTAATACAGATATATTATTTGGACTTTTGAAAGAAATCATGTTAAAAAGACCTGATGATCTAAAAGTTGTAATTATGTCTGCAACTATGGATGCAGAAAAGTTTTAAAAGTATTTTCATAATGCTCCACTTTTGGATATTCCAGGAAGAGTATATCCTGTAGAAATATTCTATACTTAAAAACCTGAAAAAAGCTATCTTGATGCAGCAATAAGTACTACGATCAATATACATGCATACGAAGATCCAGGAGATATCTTAGTATTTCTTACAGGAGAAGAAGTAAATAATAAAATTCTATTAATTTCTATAGGAAATTGAAGAAGCATGTAAAAAGATTACTTCAGAAATATAGAAATTGGGAGATGATGTTGGACCAGTTAGATGTGTACCTCTATATAGTACATTACCACCAAATTAGTAATAAAAGATATTTGAATCTGCTCCATAGCCAAATAAAAAAGGAATTCAAGGTAGAAAGATTGTTGTTGCAACTAATATTGCTGAAACATCTATTACTATAGATGGAATATGTTATGTTGTAGATCCTGGATTTTCTAAATAAAAAGTTTATAATCCAAGATTAAGAGTAGAATCATTACTTGCTTCTCCTATTTCAAAGGCTTCTGCTTAATAAAGAGCAGGTAGAGCTGGTAGAACAAGACCTGGAAAATGTTATAGATTATATACTGAATAATCATTTAATACAGAATTAATTGATAATACTTATCCAGAAATATTAAGAAGTAATTTATCATCAGTAGTTTTGTAATTAAAGAGATTAGGAATAGATGATTTAGTTCATTTTGATTTTATGGATCCACCTGCTCCAGAAACATTAATGAGAGCTTTAGAATAATTATATTATTTAAATGCATTAGATGAAGAAGGAAATCTAACTAAATTTGGATAATAGATGTCAGAATTTCCACTTGATCCATAATTATCAAAAGTACTTCTAAGTAGTAAAGATTTCTATGTTACTGATGAAATACTAACTATTGTAGCTTTGTTATCTGTTTAATAAGTATTCTAAAGACCAAAAGATTAATAATAATAAGCTGATGATGCTAGATATTAATTTGTACATTAAGATGGAGATCATATCACATTTTTAAATGTTTTTAAAGCATTTAAGGAACATAATGAAAGTTCTGATTGGTGTTATTAAAATTTCATTAATTATAGAAGTTTAAAATCAGCAGATAAAATCAAAACTTAATTAAGATAAATTATGTAAAAATAATAAGTTCCATTAACTAAAACTGATCCATCAAATGCATTATATTATACTTATATAAAAAAAGCTTTAATTGCTGGTATGTTTATGTAAACAGCTCATCTAACTAAAAATGGAGCTTATATGACAGTCAAAGATAGTTAAATAGTTGCCATACATCCATGTTCAGTCTTAAATCACAAACCAGAATGGATATTATATCAAGAATTTGTGTTAACTTCAAAAAATTATTTAAGAACAGTAACTGATATAGAAGGAAAATGGCTTTATGAAATGTGTCCAGAATATTTTAATCCAAAAACTATAAAAAATATTGAAACAAGAAAGGAATTTGAAAAAATAGAAAGATAAGTAATTATATTACAATATATTTTAGGTCTTAGAAGAATAAAGAAAAAAACCTGATCTTTTAACAGTTGAATAAATACAAAGATTACATAAAGATGTAAAATCAGAAAGGACACAATCAGTTTCTTCTTCAAAAACCATTCAAAAGTGATCAAATTTTCATATTGTATCTAATAATTATATTCATATGTAATTAATGATTATTTTATAATTAATATAATTTAAATTTCATAATCTTCTTAATGTTCCATTCTTCATTACATAATTAACAAAATTAGCATATGTATAAGCTTTTATAGGATTCTAGCTATTAGCTCCAGGAGCATGGTAAACATAAACTTCTTATCCAACTCTAATTATAACTCCAACATGAGATCCATTGGTAATCACATCAGCAGAATTAACATCATTAACAACTTGACCTTACTTATGCCAACCTGCAGCACCTCCATGATTCTGAGATTTATCACCATAGATAACATAAGCTGCAAATTAACAACAATGCCATCCTGTCTTATTCACTAATGAATCTGCTTTACTTACGACCCTACATTACTCTAATTAAAATTTAAGGTTTTATATATTAAAATTCCTATTAATATTATCATAATTCTATTATAATAATATTATTATAGTATTTCTATTATAATTATATAATTATATATATATTATTATAATAATATTATTATTGTAATTCTATTTCAATTATATTATACATATAATATAATATAATTTGATAATAATAAAGAATATTTAAATTTTAATTAATCAATTTAATTTTAATTCATAAATCATATATTTATTGTTTTAATTACTTTTGATTACTAAATACTTTGCATCATTTGTTAATGTTCCAAATATAACATTTGTTTAACAATTTAATTAATAAGAAATCTTAAATTATCCATTAAATTGCTTTTAAATAATATAAATATAGGTTTTATGCCTAACAATCATAATATTTTGTTATTCTTAATAAATAATAGGAAATGAAAATACGTCAATATTAGATACATCTTTTATTAAATATAATTTTGCATTTATAATTTCTTCAAAAACTCCTTCTTTTTATCCAAAAGTGAAGATACAATCTTAGCTTTATTAACCTCCACTAACCCAAATAAATTAATCATCATTAATAAAATGAACTTTACATCCAAAATCAATGATTGATTACTTAACAATATATTAAAATTCCCAATAATTATTTAATCCTAATCTCCAAACTATTATTGAATTATCTTTCGAACATGATGTAAATTAATTTTCAGATTTATTTAAACTTATATCATAAACTGTACTATTGTGTTTATCTAAAGATTAAATAAGTTTCAATTGATTTTCATCATTATCAAAATCAAGATTCCAAATATTTATTTATCCATGAAAACTACCTGAAATAAGTTAATTTTCATTATAATTTAGTTTTATAGTATAAACATAACTATTACATTCAAATGCTTATGAATTTACCCATTCTTTATAATTAATTTATTTCCAACATCTTATAGAATTATCATTTGATCCAGAAATAAAATTATTTGTCAATTTACTAAAAACTAAACAATTAACATCTTCTGAATGTCCAGCAACACTTTAAATTAATTCCATTTTACCATATTTGAAATTCCATATTAAAATTATATTTTCTGAGTTTGTAATTAAAATTGAATTATCTTTATTAAATGCTAATGCATAACAAAAATCTTTTTATTAATTTGTATCATCAATCAAGTTCAAATTTATAGATTATTTATTATTGTTATCTAAAATCTGTTATTAATTCATTAATAATAAATAATTTCAATAAAATTAAATATTCAAAGAATTTTTTAGAAATCATTTCATTTTTCATTATTTAATTATTCTTTAAATCATCATATAATAATAATTGATAAATTTAAAAACAAAACATAATTCAAAAAAATCTAAGATTCAAATTTAGAATATATTGATGATTCAAATTTCATTTAAAAGTGATACTAATAATAAACTATTATTTTATTGCCAAATCACTAAATATTTACCATCCTCTGTTGCTCTAAAGATAAAATTTGAATCAATTAAAGTAACCAATTTAATAAATTCATAGTTATTTTAACTCTTAATCAATAATATATTGATACAATTATCTTTTCTATATATTAAAAATTATCTTTATTTTATTATTTATAACTAAAATCTATGAGAAATTTAAAGTGGATTACATTTATCTAATATAAAAGGGTTAAAAGGTTGAAAATATAAAGTTTCTTAATTTTGATGATAGAATTTGAAATTTTCTCCTTTATACAATTATAAAATAAATATAGAATCCTTAATAAAACATGCTTACAATGCTTGACTTTCCTTACAATAAATAATTTAAAAGACTGACCAAAAATTTGTAAATTTATTCCTTTAACAAATAAATATGCTATTTTCTAATTCTGATAAACAAATTAAATAATTTTCAGAATCATCAAGACTTAAACTTATTATAACTCCATAATGAGAAATTTGATATTTTTAATGAAAATTCCATTAATTCTTATTTTTTCTCCAAAATCTAATAGCTTTATCGTTGCTACCACATATTAATAAATTTTCATCTTTATTCAATATTAAACAATTTGGTTTAGGTCCTTCAATTTAAAATAAATAACATCCTCTATTTATACCTATTTCTGAATATATTTATATTTTATTATTCACAAATATTATTTGATTAGATTTCTTTAAAAATAATAAGCAATAAGCTTTTGAAGTAGAACTATTTATTTCTTTAATAAGTTTTATGGCATCATATTTAAATTAATATATTTAAATCTTTCCATCTGATTTTCCTAAAACTAAAATTGATGATCTATAATTAAATCCAAGAATTTTAATATTGATATTTTCTGTTAATGGTAGTTTAATTTGACTATGATGATCTAAAAAATAATTTATTTGTTATTAATTATTTTCTATCATGTAGATTCTAAGCAATAATAGTTTAATAAAATATAAGAAAATATATCATCAATGAGTATTATTATAAAGCTATATGTGATAATATTATTTTTATATAATATTTATATAATCTGAATATAGTAATCATAATATAATCAATATACAATTAAATAAATTCCTAGGATGAAAGAATATAGAAAAATTAAATGGTAAACATATATATATTTCACAACATTAATATCAAATATATTTGAATTATATATAATTAAGTATTTGGAAGAAAGGGATTCATATCTAATATAAATGAATCTATAATATACATAATATCTTTTGGAAAATCTCCCATTTTTACATTCAAAAAGTAAGATTTTTACATCATAATAACAAAATTATTATACAAAATGTATTATAAATATTATTATCAATTTATGGATGAAGAAAATAAATAAATATATCAAAATATTAAACAAGAACAAAATTCTTCTCTAGGTAATTGTTACTCTTTCTTCTTTGGCAATGATTCCAATTATATTTTAGCTATTTCTTTGAAGACATCATCTATGTTTTCTCCAGTTTTGGCTGAACATGAGAAAAAATGGCAATCTTTGAATGATTCTTTAACCTTAAGCTAAGATATTATCTACTTATAATTTATAATCTTCAATCTACTCATCATTTTCTCTTAGATCTATTTTATTTGCAATAATTATTTTTTTAATATTCTTAAGTTAACAAGTCTCTTGATTCCACTAATTATTATTATAATATATATTACATGTTATAAAACATTATGAAAACTTGCAATCTAATTTATATCAAAAACAATTATAATAAAATCCTTGTTAATATAAGAGTTTTTTCTAATTGAATAATAATGTTCTTAACAACATATATCTGTGAAATTAAAATTGATTGATATATTATTAATATCTATTTTTTTTTTTACAGAAGTCCAAATAGTTGGTTCATACTAATCAGAAAATTAGTTAGTGGATAACCTATATTAAGATATCATTATTTATAAACCTTAATAAAATGGAAGACTTCCCAACCTTTTGATCTCCAATAATAATTAAATTGCATTCCATAATTTATTTAATGAGTTTCAATCAAAAAAAAATTAATATTCTTATATTTATGAATATTATTTTTAATGATAAATTAATTATCAATATTAATATTAACATAAAATTTATGGATTAATAAATAAAAAAAGAGAATGAAGAATTTTAAATAGATGACATAAAATATTAGATAAGTTCAGCAAAATTAGATGGAAAAGAATATTATTTGTATGAATACAAAAAAGAACTTAATAAAGATGAGAATGATAAATTAACTTAATTTTTATAAAAATTAGAAACTGGATTAAAAGGAGAAGAAGGAATGGAAGGTGTTATGAATATTTGTAAAGGATGGAAAAAAGAATGTGAATAAAAATAATTTTAATGATTTTAAGAATTATTTAATTAAAGAAATCACAAAAAATTAAATACAATTTTCATTAAGAGTTTTTTTTCTTATTAGTTTTAAAATTAAATAACAATTATGCTTAAGGATATATTGCTTCTTAATTATTCTTTTCTCTGATAAGAACATACTCTAAACTCATTTTTTATGATTTATTTGGCTATATTAGGTTATTATAATACCCTTATACGACTAACTAAATTTTCAGTGTTTATTTTTTAAGCATAAACTTATGTATCAAATACTCTTGGTTCTTCAGTCTCACCATCATCTTCTTCTTCTACTTTAACAAGATTTTTTAATTGATCCAACTCTCTTATTTTATCAAATAATGTTTTCTCTCTTAAACATTCATTTTTTTAGATTTGATAATTCAAATATTTCATTGCTTTCTAATCAACAGCTTTCTCTTCTTTTGAACTAGTTTCATCTCCAGATTCATCAGTGAAAACTACATCTGCTTCTTCCTAAGATAAAATAATAGTGAAAATATATACTTTTTTTATGATTTAAGTATCTACATTAGTTTTAACTTTCTTTCTTTTGGCAGGCTCCTATTCGATAGGGTTGTCTATATTTTGCTTTATTTAAGGTGAAACTTTTATTTTTAATCTATTTTCTTTGCCGCCTTAAATTGCTTTTAAACTACTTTACCAAAGCTAAAAAAAGTATTAATTTAATATTACATCTTTAAAAGTTTATATCTCAGATTCACTCATTTATAATTGCCCTTTATCAGAGTTTTTCTTTAATTTTCCAATCACTTCATTAATTATTATTTCATAATGATTTTAAGTCTCTTATACTTATTAATCCATAGTTGAAGAATATAATTTTTAATATTATTTATTAATACAAAATTTCGTTGATTTTGATTATATAGTGTTATTTTATCTAATACCTAAATGAGAAGATAATTATCGAGATATATTATATAAATTTAATAATTAGAATTAGATTTTCTAGATTTTCATTATCTTCCAATTTAACAATATTATAATATTATTAATTAACTGTTATGATCAATTAAATAAGAGAAGAACATCCTCCAATAAATTTAATAAGACCTCCTTAATTAGGAGGATTTTAAGGTCCTCGTATAGCTGAATCAATTATAAATCAATAATAAGGAGGAATAGAAGGAGGAATATAAAATACAAGATAATATTGGAATGAAAAAGAATAAAATTGGTTGAGATTGAGTGTGAATTTAAATCCTTTAGCATTTGCTAATTATGAACTTTTTAAGAGTGCAAATATGGACATATCTGAATCTCCAAATCCAGTATAATGTATACTATGTTTCATTTTAAAATTCATTATTCTCATACTCTATTTCTTAACTCCTTATTATCAAACAATGAAACTATATGAAACTATAGTAATCTTGGGAGCAGTAGATTTTTGGATAATCAAAAATATTAGTGGAAGGTATGAAAATAGATAAATTAGGAAAATTAGTTGGACTACGTTGGTGGGTTGAAATAGATGATTTTGGAAATGAAAGTTGGGTTTTTGAGACTACAACTTAAGAGAAAGGAGAAGTTTAAAGGATTCATAGTAGAATATTTTGGTTTGTTTAGTTATTTATGTTTTTGATGTTTGTTGGAATGTTTATAATAAATGCATCGTAATTACAAATAAGTATCTCAATATGTATGTTTTTTCCTGCAGCATTCACTGGATATAACTTATATGCATTTAATTTGTGTAATAAAATAAAGAGATCCAAATTAGGGGAATCCTTTTTATAAATGAGTGCTGGGAGAAAATCAGTCAAAATGCCATTAAAATTAGATTGATGATTTATTAATAAAATATATTAATGAAATAAAAAAAAGGAAAGACTATCCCTTATTTAAACACTTAATTTATATTCTCAAATAAAATACCTTAAATACAAATGCAATATTTGACTTAAATTAATAATCAAATTTAAAATGTTCAAACAGTCAAAAAGTTAGATTTATAAACTAAAAACTAAAATTGACATACAAAAATTATTAGAACAACCAACAAAAATTGAATCTTAATTGTCTTATATGTCATTTAAATAAAGATCTATTTTTATTACAGAATTACTAATAATAGAGAATAATTTCAAAATAAAATAATAATCATAATCAATTCGTAAATTTTAGAGATTTCAAAATTAAGAAAAATTGATTGAAGTAATAGAAAAAATGATAAGAAAATTTATAAAAGATCTATAAATAAAGATTGCATAATGATTATTAATAAAGATTAGATACATTATAATCAGAAATTTTTAATAAAATAATTAAATATAATAAAAAAAAACTTGCAATGAAAAATTCTCCAAATCCAATTTAAATTCCTTAATAAATGTTAATAGAAGTGCACTAAAAGATTAAAAGACTCAATTTAATATTTGTAGAAAATACTGATTTAGAATTATAAATAAATTATATGTCACCTATATATTCTATTTTAAGAAAGTAAGTTATTTAAAAAATCTTAGAATAAACGAGAGAAGTAAATTTGAAATGTTAAAATAAGTATCAAAAAAGAAATAGCTTAGAAGAAAGACTCAAGATGAAATAATTAATCGAATAAATTAAAAACAAAACAAAAAATGATCCAAGTGAATTCTTAGCACAAAAATGTCACAATTTATTTTTATCTTCAAAATAAAAAGTGGAAGAAGCAAAAGAAAAAAAAGAAATAAATGAAACGAAAAAAATCAAAATAAGACGTACATCTTGAGGTTTTTGAAATTTGATTATATTTACAATATGTTCAAAAATAATTATTAACTTAAATCTTCAATCATTGCTTAACTTCTGAACCATTTAAACTCAAATTGCTCTTATGGTAATGTATTCGAGTCAAAAATTATTGGTGACCCTTAAAATCCAATTTTTTCTATCGTATTAAGATAAAGTGGTAATAGCATTAGCTTATCACAAAGTGAAATGATTTAACAAAACTTGGATGAATTATTTAATGTTTTACCAAGATTGTGCATCAAATAAATTGAATAAGTAAAAGATGTAATTATACCAAATTCCTTTTAAGTACAGATTTCATTAGATTACATAACTAAGTCATAAATATCAATGCCATTTAAAATTTTAAATAGTGATAAATTAATATTATGCCCTCTGTTTTGTGATTTTTAAGTATTTTTAGAAAAGATGTTATAGTCAAGTAAATTTGCTGATGAAATAATAAACATTGATTCAGATGAATATTATGTTATATCTTTGATGTGGAAAATTAGAAATTTATTGAATAATCTGTATAAGAATTAAGCTTCGTTTGAATTCATTTTATATCCAAAAAAGCATAATTTTGGGATTTGCAAATAACAAAATAATACAGAAGTCTTATACTTTCATTCTTTAAAAATAAAATAAAAGTTTTTATAATAAAATAGTAAATTTTGCAGGTTATCTACAACAATATATGAAGCTTTAAAAAAAAAGTAAATAATTGAAACTTAGATTAATCTTTCCTTCTTGGTTGATGGAAAATTATGTTGTAAAGAATTAGATATCGAAGTTGATTATTCATAATATTTATTTTAAATAGATTTTGAAAAAGAAGAAGAAGAAAATGTAAAACTGTGGTCTTAATAGATCTAAATTAATGATTAAAAGCATCCTAAATATATTAATGATTAAAAGCATCCTATAAAATAGCCTATTATTATTAAGAACCCAATTTTATGTTAAAGCACTCTATGTTTAAATAATGATATAGAAAATGATATATAACATTTTATAAAATTTGAAAAAAATATAAATCCTAAATGTTAATGTGGAAGGGAATTGGATCCATATAGTGGTGATACTTTAATAATAGATTATAAGTTAATGAAAGCCTTTAACCATATTATTTAGGATTTACTACTTTAAATTGAAGAAATTGGTTTATAAATATTATTATATCCACTTTATATGGAAGTTGAGAAAGATGAATATGATAATTATTTTATTGTTTTATTTATAAAGGAATATAATTAGAAGAAATTAAAATTAAAATCTCATTTTTTTGAAGGTCCAAACTAAAATTATAATTTGCATTTGATTGAAGATAAAAATGACGAAAAAGATTATTTAGATAAATTATTGGGAGAAGAAGAAATTTATAATAAATCAGATGAACAATTATAAGAAAAATCTGATTATGAGACTAAAATGACAATTGAGAAATGATTAAAAATTGTAGAGATATTATTGAATATCTATATTTTTATTAATTTAATTTAATATATTAATTAATTTGTATTAAATAATATTGGATATCTTGTATACATATAATAACAATAAATATATTGTTTTTAACAATTATATCCTCGTATATTTAGTTTTATTTGTAATAATATATTTTAGACTATAAAAGTAAGAGAAAGTAAATTAGAAATAATTTGGAATGTTGATTATACAATGGAAAAGGAAAATAGTAATGATAATACATAGAGAGTTGAAAAATAAGGAAACAGATATGTAATTCAAAGAATAAATGATTCATATTACATTATTATTTCATTCAGAGTAATCATATTCTGCTTTATTATGCATAACTAATTAATCTCCGACGAAATAGAAACTATCTGACTTAGTTTCGTATGGATTTTCAATCATTTCTTAACGCTTTTAATAATTTAAATACTATACCATAGCTTCATCAATTTCTGGAATTGTGTAAATATGTTCCCAAGTATTAGTTGAATTAGGAATACAAAATGGAAATTAGAATTCATAACATCTTAATAAATGATCTCTAAAATAATGTCTTTCAATAATAGTAAAGTTTTTGATAGGATCTTTTCCAACAGAGAAAGTGAGTTAAGCACCTACTGTTTTCAATTCAAAAAACTATGGTCCAAACTGATATTTAATTCTTCTTGCTTCATCTTAATATTCAACTGGTATATTTTCTTATATTTTAATTAATTTATATACCTATTGGTTATTCATCTGGATCTCTTTCTACTTCAAATAAAACTTAACCTGAATCCATATCACGAATTCTAAATTTCAAAAATTAAATGTTGTAAATATTTGCACTTACTGGACATAGAAAACTAAATTGTTATATCTATCTACTTAGCAGTAGGTCCTGTTAACGATTTCACATATGCAGGAGTCACTTATTACATATTTATTTATATATTAATATTTTTAATTCTTAATTATAGTATATAAATAGAAATTTCTAATTTATTTATAAAAACTATCTCTATTTATTATTATTTTTCAATTATTATGTACTTATATCTAAATACTAATATCTATTATTATAAATCAAAATCCTAAATTTAATAAACTATTAAAATAACATAATTGAATTTAACTTAAATAAATAAAGTAATTTAATTAAAATTTCAATATAGAATAGGTTTCATTAATTTAGATTCAATAATATTGAATTATCTAACATAATCAATATAATAATAATCAAATTATATACAAATTAGCTTATATAAAATTGTATAATAATTCAAATTTTAGGTAATTCTTATTCTTCTGTATTATCTTTAATACGTATTACAAATTCTCCATTTTCGTAAATTAATCTATCTGCTAATGCTGTGTAACAATACCAATATGCATCAAAAAAACCAATTAAACTTCCCAATCCAAAATCAATGCTTTTCCATATTACTGATTTAACTCCAATAAGATTCACAAAGCCAGGCTAAAAATTATATTATATTATACAATTATCCAACAAATTACCAAAATCCCAGGATACATAAATAAGGTATACAAAGATTGATTTACAATGTTATTTTTATTGATAATTCTGATTACAAGAATGATTACAATAATGTTATATAGAAACATTGTCCATATAGGGATATCAAAAAATATCATTATATATAGTTCCATATTTTCGTTATTGATATCAAAGAAACAATTTGTTTATGGCATTGGATAGTATTAACCATATACATCAATAATTATTGGTCTTTTTCACTAACAATACATACATTATAGATATTATCAGAGGTATTCCATAGCCTAATCCAGGATAATATGACTGCATATAATAATTTGTTTCACTCTCTCTTAAAGAATGATACAAACTATGAATTATAATTGAAGTCCAAAAAGTGCTTGATAAAACACTATAAACAGAGAAAAAAGACTAGGCCTGACATAATACAGGCTTTTCACTCAATTGAAAATTAGTATTTCTCAAAAACAAATATCCAATAGAGTCGCTAAATAGTATGAGATCATATATCAAATCGAATAAAATAATCTGTAATACAATAGTAAATTGATCATTTCTTAATTCTCTAAATCTTCCATAAATATATATGACAAATCCACAACTTATAATTGATATAAAACTTAAGATAATTGTGACTATTGGAACAATTAAATCATTCATTTAATCAATAAATATTATAATAAAATTATTTAATAATAAAGATGAATTAATAGAATTCTACAAACAACCAAAATTTATTGGATACTACTATCAAAACTCGTTAAAATAGATAATTAAAAGTTATAAGCTTGTTGAGAGTAGGAAGTGATGAAACTTTGTATAAAGCATAATATATACATGACCCAAACCCATGCCCTAAAGAATTTATCTTGAAATCTTAAAAAACAATGAGTGAATCCTAAAAAGCTTTCATTAAGAATATAATGTAGACTTAAGGATAGTCTGACACAGGTATTGTAACTATTGAAGAAGTTATTGAATTTGAATAACAACAAAATTATATATTATTAATGGAAATGGGAACAATCAATTTACATGATTACATCAAAAATTAATCAACTCTAACAATAGAAAAAAAAATTTAAATTTGCAATAATGTAAATATTATGTAAATTCTTAGCTTTTTACACCTATTAATTTTATGCATTCTCAAAAATTTTATCACAAAGATCTCAAACCAGAGAGCTTTGTTCTTATAGAGAATAGATTTAAATTAATTGATTTCGGGTTAATGATGAAAGGATATGATTAAAATAACAGTCACACTATACAAGTTGTAAAAACTGTATACTCAGCTCCAGAAATAATTTTCCAAAAATATGAATATTCTGAAAAAGTAGACTCTTGGGCCTTGGGTTGTATAATTTATGAGATTTTTTCTGGAAAGTCATTTTTTGTTAGATGTATCAAATCATATCTAAAATATTAGATGAAAGTGTAGAAGATTTAAAATAATAAATCTAAATGTATTAATAACAATAGGATTCATATCATAAAAAAATTGACTAATTACAAATACCTGAATAAATTTAAAGAACCTTGAAGTAAATGTTAGACCCTAACCCATAAAAGCGTATATCGATTTTGGAAGCCTCAGAAGCATTTATAAACAAATAAAAAAAAACTCAAACAAATCCAGTATTATAAACTCAAGCAAATCCAGTATTATAAACTTAAACAAATCCAGTATTATAAACTTAAACAAATCCAGTATTATAAACTCAAACAAATCCAGTATTATAAACTTAAACAAATCCAGTATTATAAACTCAAACAAATCCAGTATTATAAACTTAAACAAATCCAGTATTATAAACTCAAACAAATCCAGTATTATAAACTTAAACAAATCCAGTATTATAAACTCAAACAAATCCAGTATTATAAACTTAAACAAATCCAGTATTATAAACTCAAACAAATCCAGTATTATAAACTTAAACAAATCCAGTATTATAAACTCAAACAAATCCAGTATTATAAACTTAAACAAATCCAGTATTATAAACTCAAACAAATCCAGTATTATAAACTTAAACAAATCCAGTATTATAAACTCAAACAAATCCAGTATTATAAACTTAAACAAATCCAGTATTATAAACTCAAACAAATCCAGTATTATAAACTTAAACAAATCCAGTATTATAAACTCAAACAAATCCAGTATTATAAACTTAAACAAATCCAGTATTATAAACTCAAACAAATCCAGTATTATAAACTTAAACAAATCCAGTATTATAAACTCAAACAAATCCAGTATTATAAACTTAAACAAATCCAGTATTATAAACTCAAACAAATCCAGTATTATAAACTTAAACAAATCCAGTATTATAAACTCAAACAAATCCAGTATTATAAACTTAAACAAATCCAGTATTATAAACTCAAACAAATCCAGTATTATAAACTTAAACAAATCCAGTATTATAAACTTAAACAAATCCAGTATTATAAACTTAAATGAATCAAGCATAATTATCTTAATATACATATTAATAACCAAATAAAACCTAATAATAGCCTACATAATCTTAAGCTTCTCCTTTTTAATAATAAACTACTTAAAAACAATAGTTATCTTAGACTAATATAGAATAAGTTTGTAATTTACTTCTAGGTGAAATCAAATAATAAATTTCTAAAAATTAAAATTAAAAAATAGAAAATAAAGATGCAAAAAAGCAAATAAGAGAAAATGACTCAAAATAGTCTTAAAATGATGTAGAAAATGCTTTTCATTAAATTAATAAAATTATCCACAATTTAAAAAAAAATGTCTAGGAAAAACAAGTATAATAAATATAAGAAATTAATAAATAATATGAATTAAAATTAGAAGACAAAGATAAATTAATAGATTAATTAAAGAAATAATTAGAGGATAAATAAAGAGATATTGAATAATAAATAAAATCTAATAATGAATTGGTTTAAGAAAGCAAGAAACTTTAAGATTAAATAAATAATCTTAATTATAAATCTTAGGAATAACAAACATTGATATAACAATAAGAAAAAAAGATATTAGAATAAGAAACATAGATTTAACAAAAAGAAACAAAGATTTAAGAATAATAGAACTTAAATTATTTAGTTAATTAAGTGATAAAGATAATATAGAGCAGAAAGTAAGATAAATAAGAATAATATTAAAATAATGAACAGTAGTAATACCAAAATAATGAAGAAGAGACTCTCTTTTAAAAGCTTTATGAAGAACTAAGCTAATTTGATAACAGATATTGATTCATTTGGACATTTTATAAATAATAGTATTGTTAATTTTAATTATATATATTCAGGTTTAATGACTTCCAAAAAACAATTCATAGACGAAATATGTATTAAAAATTGATAAGTTAAGTTGAGATATGTGATTCTATTCTTGAGAAATCATATAAAAATTAATAGAGTTTGGAGTTATTGATTCAGAAATATCCGTTGAATGAAGGAATCTAATAATTTTAATTGGTTTCTGTGAATTAATATGAAGATTAAAGCAGAAACTAATTAAAGTAATTAAGTATTGAACAACTGACATATATTTTGGAAGATGCCAAACATACTTTAGATTAATTAATGCATGAGGAATTGTAAATAAATAAATTGGGATTGAGAGTGCCTAAAAAAACATTAGCAGTTTAAAATTATGAACAATGGGATTTCTTGTTACAATGGCCTAAATCCAATAATTTAGACAGCATAATAATAAATGTTAAAAGCATAACAAGTAATCTGTATATTTAATGATTAAATTGTTAGATAATATTTAAGCTTAATTGTAAAGATCAAAAGAAAAAAGTGATAATTAAGATGATTTTCAGAATAAATACTAAGAAGCATTAGAAAGAATAGAATATTTAGAAAAGTAAATAGAAAATGAGTCAAATAAAACTATCAATTAAAGAATCCTAATTTAAGAAAATATATTGAATACAAGAAAACTATTGAATCCATCTAGAATACCAAAAAGAGATAAGATTGAATTGATGGATGAATTAGAAAAGAAATTATAAGATTTAGAAATAGAAAAGGAGAAAATGTCATCCTAAAGCATGGATGCATTTTCTAAATTACTTTAAACAAAATAATGATTATTATTTATAATATATTAATCAATCTATTATTATATATGATAATACTTTAATTTTTGTTTGATGTAGAATTATAAAGACTAAGAAAGATTTTATTAATAAATACAATAATATGCAAATTTAGATCTTTTTAGCAACAAAAATCAATTATTATTATATAAGCAGAAGAAATGGAAATAAGAGAAATTGAACATTAATTTAATTGTTTTAAATAAATTTGTATCAAAAGTATATTTATTATAAATAATTTTAAATTTAATTTCATTATTAAATTCCTTCATCCTTTATAATTGATCTAAAATTCCTATAAAATTAATCATCAAAAATTAATGTTTGTCTTGGAAATAAAAATATAGATTGTTTGATTGACTAAAATTGTTATTTGTGTTTTTCATTCATGATGGTGATATAAATAAATATACATATAGATTGAAATACTAGAAAAATGATACATGGAATCTAAGTGAAATTAATCAACCTTAAACATGAAATGAGTAAATTATCATAGAGTTCAGATATTACTGTTGACATAACATTACCAATAATTGTTGCTCCTTCCAATTCAAGTCTAGTGTTTGTTGGTAAAATAGTAAAGTTTTTGCTATCATATTATTAGGTTTTTAAAGTGTATAATATATATGGTAAGATTTATGATAATCCTTTTAATAAGTTACCATTCATAGCTATTCCACAAGTTAAATTAGAGAGTTATTTAAATTATTCTGTTTAAAAATCACACAAATTTCCTGTGTTAATTGATTGATAAAAAGAGACTGCATTTTCATCAAACAAATAATCATTTGAACTTAAATCAATATTTAATTATGAGAATTCTTCTACTTTATTATATGCCTAAAATAATACATCATATACTCCATCAATTTCTGCATTTGATAAAAAAAAATATCTTAAAGTCCTTCTATATAAGACTTCTCTTTAAGCATATAAAGTTGGAATATCAACTCCAAGATCACTGATCCTTTAAAAAATGATGGAAGTTTAATCATATTTCTCAAAATATCTTTCTATAATGAAAAATATAGTCATATAGAATGTTAGGAATAAAAGAAAATGAATAAATCCTATTGCAGCAGTTGTTTTTAAATAATTATTAGTTATTTTGAATCTCTTTGCATCTCTTTTTATATTATTTCTATTTGTTAAATTATTAGATTCCTCAAGTTCAGCATCTATTGCATCAATATCAAATTCAAATTTCTTAACTTTCTCTAATTCATTATTTACTATACTCAAATGTTTTTAAAGTCTCTTTTTTTCATCATCCAATATTTATTGATCCAAATCCATTAAATATTAAAATATTGAATTCATAATTTAATTATATTCTCTATAACTATTAATTATTATTATGCATAATAACAAACTTATTGTTATAAATGGTAATAATACCGATAACCATTTTTCTTTTTCTAATTTTGATCTTTATAAAGTTTCATCTAATACAATCTTATTTAAACCATCAAATGTATGTTTTATTGTTAGATAGTTTTTACTTGTAAAATAAAAAAAAGGACTATCAAATGCCACATTTCGAATAGTTAATCCTAACTTAAAATCATATTAATAATTCATCAAAATATTTGCTAAAGATCTTATAGTTACATTTTTAGTATAACCAACATATGAGCTGTTCAAAAAGTTGATTGTTATATATTCATTCTCTGATAATTAATCTATCTCTCTTCTTTCTAATACACTATACATGCTATCTCTCAGATGATCATACATTAGACTAAAAGTTGAGAATGGATATTTTGTCAATTAAGCATACACACTAGCATTTATATGCCCTCCACTTAATTATTCTCTGTAATTAACCTAAGAAAATCTAGAAACATAAAAGGATTCATAGGGTTCTACAACATCATATCTTATTGATAATGTTTTGATATCTTCTACAAATTATTCTAAATTTTAAATCATTAAGATTTGCTATTAAATAATTAATATTATAATTTACTATTATTAATCCCAGTAATATAACAAATATATACAAAAAAATGAATTTATTCATTTTTACTATTTTTTGTGATTATTTTTTTGATTTCATTAAAATTGTTATTATCTCAAATTTTTTATAATATTTTGATCTTCTAATAGCAGTAACAGAAGATGTAGATCCGATTTCCAAAAACTCATCTTCCTCTACAATTTTGTTTACTTATTTTTTCATATCCTCATCATGAGAATACTTTGAACTATGCAATAATCGTTTTTATGATAAAGGTTCAAATACATTTTGACTCTTTCCTATTTCCACCATTTATAAAGTACAGACTAAATTTGTATCAGTTTAATTTATTGTTTAACGATGATGTTCTTATTGAATAATACATAAAGAATTCTCAGGAATTGGATGATTTTCAATATCTATATAAGGAATCATCTTCTCTTCAGAATCATTTAATTCACTATTTATATTGAGTAATTTCTAAGTTGATCCAGGAAACTAAGTAAGAGAAGCCATATACAAAGTAGAATTCTCATCTTTAAACTTTTTTGAAATTGCTCTAATATTATCTAATTCTACAAAATAACATTTATATTGATTCTCAAATTTTCTATCTATTTTTATATTACCAGTAAAAGAGCAAGGAACTTTTTGATGATGATATTCTTTAACTAATTTTATTTCTTGATTGTAAAATTAATGTTAATGAGTAGATATTAATTATTAAAAATTTGGTATTATTTTAGTTATACAACTTGAATGAACTTTAGATTCATTTATCAATAAGCTTTCTGAAATATTTGAACTTATATTAAGTATCTCTAAATGTTTATCCACTACTATATATGATCTATAGTCAAGTGATTCATAAAAAAATGTAAGAAAGGAGAATTTATCATAATTTGTTTAATTCATACTTATCATTATTTGAATTGGCATCATTACTTTATCTAATTATTTTAAAAATGAAAGATTTTATTATTGATAATATTTATTTTATCCTTCACTTAAGAATCTCTCAATCAAACTGCTATGCTTCAATTATACATATTCAGGTAAAAAAGCATTTAGTTCAGTATTTTAATGATATTTTTATTCTTATTATTATACCTTCCATTATTCCAATAAATATTATGCTCTTTAAGACTTTTTAGATATTATCACTTCTAATTCAGAATTTAATTCAGTAATAAAATATGCAGGATTAATTCCAAATATTTTATGATACATTTATCCTGAAAACTAATTAAATTTATCATCTTCAAAAGCTTTACCTCGATTGATGTTAAAAGAATCAATATAATCATTTAGAATATGAAGAGTAAAATATTTCAATATATTTTAGTTACTACTTGCTAAAATTATTATATATTTATACTTGGGAACTAATTATATCGATTTAACAGCATCTCCTTAAATTATTAAATTTATTAGATAAATTGCAATGCATAATTGACATTTCCAAAACTATTATTTTAATGTTCAACAAAATTATAATAAAATTAAATTTTAGTTTGAATTATTTTTTTCAAATTGAATATTATTTAAGAATCTGAATTTTCATTTAGTACAAATGATTTCAAGGATTCATTAAGTAATTTATTATGTTAATTGGATAACATAATTTTTTCTGTAATTTAAATCATAACTTAATTTAAAACTTCACCCTTTAAATATTCAAGTAAAAATATTGTAATTGTTGATAATGGATTTTATTTTTTTTCATAATTTGATGATTATCTAGTCAAAAATCTGGTTATGTGTTATTAAGCTTTTACATATTATTAACTTCGAAATAAAATCTAAGCATAATCTGTACAAATTAAATCTCTAGATATTTCTATTTTCCCATGAAGTTTTTCTTCAATTTTACTTTCAATAATTTTAATAATGGCAACATATTAATCATTTTTATATTTTGTACAAAAACAAGTGTTCTTATTATCACAATTTTGATAATGACTTTTGTAAAGTATGAAAATTTAAAGTTTAGTTTTTGATTTTTCATGATTACTTAAATCTAAAAAAGTAAATAGATATTTTAATTCATGTATTCCATAATTAGAAATTTTATCAATCTAAAATTCTTCACAAAACATTAAGATTTTTATAACAATTATGCAAACCAATATCCAATAATTATTATTATTTGTTGATTGAGTTAGAAGTACATCAATAGAAAGAACTAATCCAATCGAACTAAAAATAATTGTTGTGTTCGAATAGATTTTTTAAGCATAAACTTTGACTCTAATCTATTCAGCTATAAAGCATATTTAAATTAGGATATTAATTACACATTAAATTATTTAAGAGAGAAATTGTCTTTGTAAAAAAAAAAAAAAAATGATTTACATTAATTTAAGAATTTTGATTATGTATGAGTATGTGGTCATATTAATATACAATTAAGATGTTGATTTAAGTATTAAGCCTCTTCTAAAAATAAGTTCTCCTAATATCATAATCATAAGTGTTTCTATCATTACAACTATAGAAACACAAAACTATGCTAAATCAAATGATTTAAAAAGGCAAATTTCAAAGATAACAGGAAAAAATGCAGTTGAAAAATAATAGATATAAAAACAGAATATGACAGATATAAATCTGGTCCAAAAAGATAAAGCCCCCATCACATATTGATTTTTATAAGCAACAATACTAGCCGCGAGGAATATCAAATTTTGGACTACAACAAGTAGCCAAAATAACGCTGACTTTATATCTGGATTGTCAATATATAAATACAATCTTGTTAGTAAGGTAATTTTAGTAAGACTATGTTTGAGTTGTTCATCTTAAGTATATTAGTAGTAAAATGAATACGAAATTGATTAGGTAACTGAATAAATGATAAGGAGCAATTAGAATAGTTTAGGCATGTTGTATTCTAATGTTAAAAGGTGTGACAGCATAAAAACTACCTATTTCTCAAATAGCTTAATTTAAAAAGGCATAAAATAAGTTATATGGTAAATATTATTATGAAAATTGAATAGTTATGTAGAATAGCATACTAATATTAATTGAATAGAGAAATGAAAAAAGAATAACAAAAATTTATAAAATAAATAATTTTTTGAAGAATATTAATGAACGTTGATATTACTAATGAAATCAGTTTCTGCTTGCAATAAATTAAGCTGTGGTTGATAATTTTTCACTAATATGTTCTTAGAGTCTGTCAACAATTTCCTATTAAGCAGTTCTATTTTATAGAATATATTAATACCTTTCACTAGTTTAAGTTTCATATATTTAGGATTATACAGCAAACCATGCTTATTATCCAGCAAGTCTCTCTTCACTATTTTCCAATTCCAAGGTGTGGAATTCTATCCATGAAATAGCATCTTCAATAGTATCTTTTTGTTCTTGAATTTACACCTCTAATTATGCCTTTCTTTCAACTAATCTAGTATGTTCATTTGCCAAATGAACTGAAAATTCAGCCCAATGAGCAGCTTGTCTTTCTTCAACATCCTAAATTGTTGATAATTAATAATACTGTCTTAGCAGCTTTTTCTTAGACTAATTATTATCTGATTTCGCTCAAAAGTTGGGCAATTTTAGTCAAAGCCTTTTAGTTGACTCCATGAGTAGCAAGCTCTGTCAAAGCTGTAATGACTGGCTTAAATATTATTATAAAATAAAACTTGTAAGAGAGCAGAATGTGATGTGTTGTCAGATAGCTTTTTATGGAGTGAATCGAATTTGGTTTTAATTTAAGCAAATGAGGCACCTAAACTTAAATGTTAGATGAGTTTGGCTGCATCATCAATGGCATCAATCACATCATCAATAGCTGCAATTTTAGCAACGAAGGTTTCATGTTGTTGATTTCTTGTTGCTTCTTCTCTAGCATAGGTAGCTTCATTATTTGCGATATCTTAAATAGTCACTCTGATGTCTTCTTCAGAAACAGCAAGAGCTTCAATTGTGTCATCTCTTAATTATGTATTAGCTGCTATTTAATTCTAGTGATACAAAATCTCCTTCTCTAAGTCTTCAACTATCTGAAAATTATACAAGCCCTTACTCTATTGTTAGTTGTTGTATCTAACTCGAAAGCATGATCATGATCATTTTAGTCTTAAACAATACCAGCACCTACAGCATTCAACAACATGTTAACTTCATTAGCTGGAGTTTAGGCTTAAAGATGTGCCTTTATTGCAGATAACACCACATGTCCGAATGGGTCAGCATTTATTTAAGCCAAAGATGTATGAGTGTCAACGAACTTAGAAGCTGTTATTGCGAATACTAATGCCAAGATGGCTAGTTTTTGCATCTATATTTTAATATTGATTTAAAAACGGATCGAATTAACTCATTAAATGTGAGTATTTCCTTCTTTATTTAAATAAAAACTTTCTTCATATTCTTTGCTAAATATTTTTTAAAAAATACCTTTTAAATTTTACACTCCCCTCACATCAACTTTCAATGTTGAAACTTAAGACATCCCAACAAACCAAAAATTAAGCACCTAAACCTGAAGTAAACTTCAACTTTATTCTTAGACTTCCAAAATTGTGAAGAAGGATGACCAAAAAAAGGCTTCTATTGATCTTGATGAAGAATAAGAAGAAACCAATCTCGTTGAAGTTGCAAAAAAACCAGAAAAAAAGTATCAATATCATTACATATCTAGATAACCCGCTATATAGTAAACAACAACTGATGGTTGGTAGCAATCAGATGATCCTAAAGATCTTCCAACTAATGGCATTGGGAAGAAACCAAATGCATCACTCAAAAAGCAAGATGAGCCTGTCATAGAAATTCGTAATGAAGAGTTCCCTGATCTTGCTGTTGCTGCTGATTTACCAAAACAAACTAAAAAATAGAAGAATTTACAAAGTTAACCTAAGCAAGACTAAAAACCTTAGCCTACCACCAATAATGCAATGTTATTCACTAATTCTTGTTCTAAACCCTAAACCTAAGCAACATCCAATATCTAAACCAAAAATACTCAATTAAATTCTAATTCAGGACCTCTAACATTCACTAATACTAAAAAATAAGAAAACACTGCTTTATTCTAATAACAACAATAAGAATAAATTAAAAAAACTTAATAAGAAACTTAAGTCTAGCCATAGCCACAAATATAAGAAACATAAAAATCTAATCCACCTCAAAGATAAATAAATATTACTAGAAACTCAAATACAGTATCTACATAACCAGTCCCTGAATAATAGAAATAATTGAAAGTTGAAGAATCGATTCCCACCTTCATCAATTCTAAAGTTAAAGTATTTATTCATTTTTATTTAAGGGAAATCCACCAATAGTTTAATAATAATAATAGCCATAAGAATAATAATAATAATAATAATAATAATAATAGCCATAAGAATAATAACCATAAAATGAAGATGAGGATAGCGATGGGTGGGAAACTGTAGAAAAGAAAAGAAAACCTAAAGTAGCAATGTAGAGAAATTAAAAAAAGAATTCATGAAAAATTATTATATTAATCCATCAAAAATTTTAAATTAACGATTCTATTATATGGTATCCTAGCCTCCATTTAAAAATTTGTATCTTCTAATTTTTTTTAAAATATAAATGGAAACTTATCTTTAAGCAATATAATTTTCTTTAAATTTAAAATTAATGGCTTAAAAGACATTTTATAATTCTAATTCTACTTATAAATCTTCTTATTTTTATAGTAGAAATTAATTGCATTTAAATTTATAATAATATTTAGTATTATTTTCTCTCAAACTTCGACCTGATAATTTTTTTAATTATCTTTATAAAGCTTGAGATTAGAAATGTAATAATAAACTTCAAATAAATCAAAAATCTTTTTTACACCATTTAAAAATAAATGCAAATCATATGACTTCGTTCCCTTTAACTTTTTCACTTAAATTCAAAATTTTAATTAAATAAAATTGAAATTTTTATTCCTATCATCTTGAATTTTGTGAATATTCAATATTTTTATTATTCATTTAATTAATCCTCTTTAATTTAAGAAATAGTTTTTTAATTTATCCTTAAAATAAAGAGTTACTTCCAATCTCGTTTCCTTAGAAAGCCTGATCAACTTATATTATTTTAGTGATCATTCTGGCCATTTAATGATAATTATTTAGCTTTAATTAAACGAATTCAATTATTTTATATTAGTATTAATATAATATTTTCAATAAAGTTTATTATTTAATATTAATAATTTAGAAATTAATTTTTTAAAAGAATCTTAAGAACGATAATATATTTTATTATTAAGCAATTTAATTAAGTATTAAAAATTATGATATAATTAATAAATCAATATTATA